ATTTTCAATACTGACGAAAATAAAATTCAGTCAAGACGTGTGTTTTACTGTCCTGTCCGTATTTTAAATATTTAATTTTCTAATAAGTACCACTATAGCCAAGTCGTAGTGTATGCTAAATAATAATAGAGTAATACTGCAATCAATAGAGGAGGAAGAGGAGGACTTTGAATAAGAAACCTAACCTAACCTAATCTAACTCTATATACTCACGTAAAATGAAGCCTATATAGATAATATTTACAAATTTCGTGAAAGTGAAGGTGTTTTCAAAATTTTAAGTAACCGTTATTTAAATAAAAATAAAACTAAGTTTCTTGAATTTTTTGATATAAACTATATAAAGTTCGACTTTTTCAGTTTCATTGAACGAAGAGACTTGTGTAAAGAACCTAGCAATTTAATAAAGAAACCAATAACCATTGCAGAAAAATTGACACTCATCTTAGGTATTTATTTAAAAAAATATTTGGTTTATACAGTATTGGGGATGTTACTTTTTTTTGTAGTTAAATTACACCACAAATTACCTTTCAAAATTGTACTCAGTTATTTTAAAGTTATTTTTTATATTTTGTTAAGCTGTATTATTTTTGAGATAAAATGTAACTGCACTTGATTATGGTAATGATATCAATAAGTACGTTAATTATAAATTTATAAGTAATGAGTCAGTAATTATGAAAATCAACAATTACTTAAAACAAAATAAATACAATAATTACACTAAAATTATTCAAAAAGTTACAATAAYTTTTAATAATATGTCAATAGTTATTCTGCTACACTGATTTTAAATTACCTATAAAATTAAAATAAATATATGTTGTAATAGGTAATATGGAAACCGAAGAGTCATAACGTTCATTGTCATTTAGCTTTCGTAAAGTCATAGCTACATTAGCCCAATAATAAAGAAAACATTATCTGTTTTAAGAACTATAAATTATCTGCCCATATTTTTGCCGAATGCTAATACAATTGATTTTAAGGCGAATGCGACTGAATTTACTTATAAATGGAATTATCCAAATTGTATTTAGACTATTGACGGTAAACATGTACGTATACGCATTCCAAGTAACTCGGGATCTTTTTTCCATAACTGTAAAGATTAATTTTCCACAGAGTTGCTCGCTATGGCCGACGCAAATTACAAATGTATCGTTGTTGATATAGGGTCGTATAGTCGTATGGAAAAGAGGGTGACGGAGGATTTTTTTTTTTGAAATCCGCACATAATGAAATCATTTCTAGGTAAGCAAGCAGAAAAGACGATTCCAAAAAAATGTTTAACTATTGACTAAGTCGTGCTAGGCGAGTCACAGAAAATGCTTTCGGTTTGCTCATTCAAATATTTAGTCTTTTACCAGCATATTAATATAAAGATAACGACATGTGATGTTTAGTTTGGGTTGCATGTTGTTTGCATAATATGTTGAGGTATGCTCACATGGAATATGGAAGAACGATAAACGAATATTCTATGAGTTAGATTCTGAACAAACAGAACCCACCAATAACATGTCGTCAATGACAAGAGGAGGCGGATTTTTCAACACTGAGGGATTTAAAGTAAGAGACCGTTTTAAAAATGTTTTCAATAATGAAGGGTCCGTATCCTGACCGTAATGAATAATGACCATAACTATAATATGAGAGTTTAATATGAATAATATGAATTTCAACCAATGTAAATATGTAATTATTAATATACTATAGTACTATACACATATTGTAACAAATTATAAAAATATGTAGGAATAAAAATATTAATATAAAATAAATTATACTGTATTGCCTTTTCTATTTATACCTATTTTACTTTTCGTTAATTATTGGATAAATTCAAAATAGCCAATTTTTGAATGTGATTATAACAACAATTTTGATGGTAAAAAGATTTATCTAAATCARGTAGTTTATTTTTTAGATTTTTTTTTAAATTCGATATTGTTTTGGTTAAATTCAGAGCCGGATTGGTTAGGCGAGCTACCGAGAAAATCTCGGTGGGCCGCTTAAAGTTAAGGCCGGCAGTGTCAGAGTGTGGGTGAAAATAAATACATGTTAGAATAAGTAAATAAGTTTGTATCGATTTTAGACGTAATAAACTAATAAAAAATAATAGAGACCCAAATTTTGGGACAGTGAATATGTAAATGGGCCGCTTAGAAGGGAAAATCTCGATGGGCTGATATATACCAATCCGGCCCTGGTTAAATTAATTTGGAACGTATTTAATAGTTTTTTAAAAATATGATTTTTGAGAATATGCTGACACATGGGTATATTTCTTGAATTATTTACACTTATCATAAAATATTAACAATTGTTGTCGTTGAATAGGCATAATTTCTTTCTTTTTTTTTTTTTGGTCAGGTTGTTACACTCTGTATACCAGACAAATTTATAGACGATGTAAAATAAAAATGAAATTATAAAATACATTACAACCCAGATCCTTATTTTAACTTACTTCATTTCACATTCGACATTATTTAGCATGCAGCCTGCCAATGGCCAGTTTTTCTTTGCGGAACTAGCCGATCCTGTACCYAATCAATTCCTGTGCCGATCACGAGCGTCCATAATATTCTTCCATCGCTCCTTGCAAATTGCAATCGTCCACTAAACATAATATGTAGTAATAAAGGTAGGTTGGTATGCGTATAATATAGTMAATTACCTTGTTTAAATGGTGTGGTAATTTCTACTCAAAAACTTACTAGGTTTTCCTACTCTTCCATATTTCGTCTTTGTATATATATTTTATATTATATCTATGTTTCAGATCTTGACCGTTGTARAGAACAGTATTTTTGCGCACTTCTTCAATTAAAAGTTCATCGTTTTCTGATGAGAATACATTTGACATTTTGAAATCATTTCAACGGTAATGATCGCCGGCGACTGTCGCGAACTCGCGATTCACWGCAATGCAGCTTAAGGATGGGCCAAAATGAAAAAATATCGATATTATCAGTATTGATAAAATATAAAATTTATCAATTGATCAGGGCCGAGTCTAGCTTTTTCAGCGCCCAGAGCAAGTACTATTTCGGCGCCTTTTGCCCTGTTTTTAAATATATAAATAGGCAACCGCACGCCCCCTTGATTTTGTCGCCCCTGTGCCGTCGCACACGTCGATCGTATCTAAAGGCGGCCCTGAATTGATACCGATATTTTCCACAAAATATATCGATATTTTGATATATCACATATTTTGATTTTTTTTTGCTCTTTTATAGTATAAAACACACAGTTATGGTCTGTGAGCAGAGATTTGAAGACAGCGCCTTTTGTTTACATATTATTAATCCTATTGTAAAATTGAAAATTAAAATAATTTAATAGATTTTTTAAATGTAGGTCCTTATTTTTTAGTGTATATTTTTTAGTACAAAAWGTTACACCAAATAATAACAATTATGAAGCAAATTAAATGCAATTTACCTATAATATACCTTTATGTTATAAATTCATAATTATTCACTGATTATAAATTATTAAAAAATATTATATCTGTGGTATCGTATGATGGTATGATATCTTATAAAATTAGTACCTAATCACATGGAAATAATATGATAATTTGATATCAAAATATGCACAACAATAAAATTAAAAAAAATTATGAAAATTTCGAGTTTCAAGGTTTTTGTCCGTAGCCGACGATATTAATATTATCAGATGATATATCGATATTACCACAGATCGAAAATATCATACGATATCGATATATCGTTTACAAATATCGATATTTTGATATTATCGATATTTTTGGCCCATCCTTAATGCAGCTTTAGTCGCAGTAAACCAGTAAAGTCGTTGGTCGACGCGGTTGTTCATGATAAACYGCGCTTTGGAAACAAGTCAACTAGTCAGTGCAAATCAGTTGAAATCATGAACATATATATACTGGTTGAAATCACGTATAATCAGTGTGGCCACGACCGGTCGCGCCTTAGRAACCGTATACCTTTAGGGGCACGGGAGAGTTGTACAATAATAGACTTATTGGTTTCCATAGAAAATTAGGAAATATATCAAACATTCCATTAGTTAACATTGTTATTTGTTGTACAATGGGTTCGTTATGTTCAAATGCTAGCAGGTAAATAATAAAACATTAAAATACCCAGATTGATTGAAATACTTAATTAAATGGAAGTTCAAACAAAGAATAGATGAAATCTATTCTGCTGTTTTAGTGTCTAACTCGCTATCTTTTTTGAATCTAACAACTGTAGAAAGCAAATAACACAACATTAGTTTTTTTGTAGATCGATTCCAAGAGTTGTTCAAAAAAATTCAAATACACCAAGAACATCACAATTACAAGTACCTAAATTACAACCCAAAGTTGCTAAACAAGATGCAAACTCCACAACATTATCTGTTCCATSCAAAAACAGACTTGCGACACTATCCAATCAGCCAGGAAGTGGAAGTATAGCAGAAATTACTAAGAATGCAGCAGGAGTTGCAATAGTAACTATCATACATTATTTTGGTAGAATYAAATTCAATGGAAAGTCATCACAATAATTTTGTTTCCCATGTTATCTAAAATTACAATCATTTCATTGTATTACTAGTACAAAATCAGTGGGTAGTAATTACTTTAATTGTAGCTTTATGTTTAATGAATACAGTTAATAAATAAATAAATCTTCTTTATAAATTGTTTGCTTAGGGAAATGCAGTAGGTACAAAAATATCAAATATGTTGAATGGTAAAAAAGATGTTGAAGAAACAGTCGAATCATCAATGGAGTCAGATTTTAAAAATGAAGAATTAATTGAAGATGACAGTAATGGACAAGATAAAGAAAATTACAACAGTGATGGAGAAGACAAAGAAAATGATAATGATTCAGATCAACAACAATAATAAGGAATTAATAATGTAAACAATAAATTGTTGAATTAATGTACAATACAATGTTGTATTTCATATAATTTAACAAAAATAACACAATGACAAGGCCACAACATTTTTTATAAACACTGAAATAAAATGTAAAGAGTAATAGTTGAAAAAAAAATATATATATAATATTTATAGTTTAACTAAAACAAATAAAAAATTATAACTAAATTCTAGTATCACCATGTGTAGGTAAACATTGAACCATTTATTTTTATTTAGTTAGTCTGATGAGGAGGTTCAGTGCTAAAGTACGGTGCTGAATCCCGTACAAGTAAAGTGTGACAAACTCGACAAACATGCGAGTCCCTCATATTAGGTCCGCTTTTTACTGTTCTTGATAAACAGGATGGGCAAAAAATTCGGCCACAATGTCTACAATGGTCCTAAAAAAAAAACAGACTAAGTATATAATATACTAAATAATAAATATAAATTATTATTATTATTATTAAATTATTTATTATAA